TGTGAGCATGCTTTTTTTTTTTTTTTTTAAACAGAAATATCCATTTAATTCAGTCATTCTGTTTTCAGTTATGAAATCAAATCCCCCACCCATCCTTTTGATACCCATGCCAGCTCTTTAAATTCCCCATGTGTGGGTGTGAGGAAGCTGTGATGCTGTGATAGAGGGCACAATGTGTCTAAAGATCAGTGCTCAGCATCCGCTTCTTCTGTCTCCAAGTCCATTCTGGATCCCAGAGCTCCCAAAGGATGAGATCTGATCAGGTGAAACATTCAGAGGCTCTAACAATGCAGCCATTCAGAGGGCGAACGGGACGGGGTGTGGCCTGCTCGCCCCTCTCCTCACACACATATGTTGAGATACAGCCTTTGGGAATGACGAATTCACGGTTGAAGTTGTTTAAACAAGCTCACTTAAACATTGGATAGCTTATCTGAGTCTGTTCACTGACCCTCTGATGCACTTTGCAGACAAAAATGGCAAGTTTTGGGTTCGAGGCTGTGGTCGGTCGCTGTACATGTTCTGATGTGGAGGAGACCGAGTCTGACTGAGACTGTGTTTTGTGTCGCAGGTTTCGCTGGGGCTGAATGGAGGTCCTCGCTGGCTGATGGACATGATGTGGGTCAGTGCAGAGGACGGAAAGAGCAACTGTGCCGTGTACAGCAAAGGTGAGAGTTTATTATTTGGGTTGACAAATGTCTTCTGTCCGGCTTCTGTGCTTGAGAAAGTGTGTCACTGAACGGGGTGTTAAAGACAAGCACGACTGAAACAAATCAGAAGGATATCCATCAGTAGAGATGATTTTGATGAATACAAACTGTGTTTAAATGCATGATTTTGTTAGTGTGTTTTGGGTCATTTAGAGTGTCAGTGTTTATTGGATCAAGGCCCTTTTATTGCCCTTTTATTGATTCACATAATAGGAAACAAGGGAGTGCAATGGTAGTGGTGTTAGATTGGGATGGAAATTTGTTGACAGCTTTTTTTGTTACATTTTTAAGGTTAAATAGTAATGTTAATTTTTAAATAAATACAGAATTAAAATGTACAGAAATGTATCATTGTTTTATTTAGCTTCCTTGCAACTGGTTGGAAATCATGATTAAATATTTATTTTATTAAATTATTTTATTCTATGATGAAAAAAAATATGATGAAAAAACTAAATAATTTTTCTATTTTACTACAAGTAATTATACATGAAAGTACACTTTCAGTAAGATTCAAAGAAGTGTACTTTTATTCAGCAAGGACATATTAAATTGATCAAAAGTGACGTGTGTGTGTGTGTGTGTGTGACAATGTAAAAGTCTTTACTATTTCAAATAAATGCTGTTCTTTTGAACTTTCTATATTCATCAAGTATCCTGAACAAAAATGTCTCAACGCTTCAAAACACACACACACGCACGCACGCACGCACGCACACACACACACACACACATTTTTAAATATATTCAAATATGAAACAGTGAGCATAATAGAAAAAACAATTGTATAAAATCTCATTTAAAAAATATCTTGTAACCCCAAACTTTTGAACAGTACATATATCTGTGTTTTTATTTTTGGAAGGGTGTTCCTCATCATCATATTTGAAGGTCTGTGGCATCAAAAAGTTTTAAACCTCCTGCACTGAATCATATTCAGATGTCCTCAAAGCTTTAGCACACATGGACTGAAAGCCACAGCTCAACTCTTCATTTCGATTTCATGGGGTCTTAAACATGTACAGTGAATCTAAAAAAAACCATGTGCCCTTTTCCGAGATAAAGCCATGGCCCCGTTTTTAACCAAAAGAAGAAAAAGTGAGCGGTAATAACTTACCATTCCACGAACAAATGCTCAATGTTTAAAGAGCAGAAAGATAACTCTTTGTTGCTGGCGCTCGCTCTCCTTGACTAAAAGTGATATTTCCGCTAAAGTGCTCCAGTTTTTTATTATCTGCAGGGGCTTAATTGATTAATCTACTTACAGTACATGTGTAAGTTCAACAGAGAACAATCCCTTCTCCATTCTGAAAAAAGACTTGAGGAAATGAAGGACTTAAAGGCCTTTATCGCACTTATCTGAGAACACAGAGAAATAGAATAATGGTTGAACATCTCCAACAAAGTCAAATTCCATTATCAGTGTATTCAAACAGCCCCGCCGCCCTGGAGGAGTCGCCGCTCCGCCAGCGCACCACAGCGATTGCGTTTAATTAAAAGACAACGCTGATGAACTGAAGGGCTTTCAACTGAGAAGTTATTAAGGAACTGAAAGGGGGTCGGGATCGATTAGGCTGGGCTGTCGGATATCTCACAAACTCCCCGGCTTACTGTACTCAAGCAGATTGCAGAGTTAGCTTTCCCAACGCTGGTCACAGCAGAGGTTTTGAGTGAGGATTTTATACTGTATGCAGATTATAGGATGTTTTCACATATGTGACCCTGGAGCACAAAACCAGTCATAAGTAGCGCAGGTATATTTGTAGCAATAGCCAACAATACATTGTATGGGTCAAAATTATCATCAGGATATCATTAGGATATAAAGATTTCCGCTAAAGTGCTCCAGTTTTTTATTATCTGCAGGGGCTTAATTGATTAATCTACTTACAGTACATGTGTAAGTTCAACAGAGAACAATCCCTTCTCCATTCTGAAAAAAGACTTGAGGAAATGAAGGACTTAAAGGCCTTTATCGCACTTATCTGAGAACACAGAGAAATAGAATAATGGTTGAACATCTCCAGCAAAGTCAAATTCCATTATCAGTGTATTCAAACAGCCCCGCCGCCCTGGAGGAGTCGCCGCTCCGCTATTTGGATTTTTTTGCACCCTCAGATTCCAGATTTTCAAATAGTTGTATCTCAATCAAATATTGTCCTATCATAACAAACCACACATCAATGGAAAGCTTATTTATTCAGCTTTCAGATGATGTATAAATCTTAGTTTCCAAAAATTGACCCTTATGACTGGTTTTGTGGTCTAGGGTCACCTATTCTGGACTGGGGGATGAAATATCGTAGTACAGTGTCAGTTTTCACAATGTATTTGCTTGCTTGGTCCAAACCCAAGTATCTGGTCTGTTTTGACAGTATTTGGCTCTGAGGGCCTCTTAAATTCATGGGGCCTGGACGAAATTGTTATGTGTTGGTTGGGTATTGACACAGAATTCACAAATCAATTTAATTCCTATTCATAAGGTTTTGATTAGATTCTGATTCGATATTGTTTCTTTTGTGTGTGTGTGTGTGTGTGTATATATATATATATATATATAGTTAGTTAGTTAGTTGGTGCATTAGTATAATAATAAAGGTTTTATTAAGGGTTAAAATTAACAACAGAGACCAGGATTTGTTTTACTTTAATTTTGTTGTTGAAATATAAACTTTTAAAATTTGGCTGTCATAAAAATTTGATTTCATGACAGG